AATCCCCCTATAGGGTCCGCACAGGGCCCCTATAGCCCCTATAAGGTCCCCATAAACTTCCCCCCCCCGCCCTGAACCTTCGCACAGTTCCCGCTCGGGCTCGCAATGCGCAGGCGCGAGGCCACGTGACCGCCGCGCACCAATCAGTAAAGGAAGCAGGGTGGCGCTGGGACGTTTCACGTGACGGGAAGTGGTTCTACAGCTGTTTTCCGTTTCCGGTGCCCTCCGCTTCCGGCGGCGGAGTGAGACCAGCAGGGCCCGGGCGGCGTTCCCATGGTAACGACCGCGGTGGGAACCTCGTTATGGCTTATTAGCATCTCATTAGCGTCTCGTTAGTTTCTCGTTAGCATCTCATTAGCGCGGAGCGGGGCGCGGCCATAACGGCGGGGCGGAAGGGCGAGTGACAGCCCGAAGGGGCGGGTCTAACAGGAAGTGGGCGTGGCCATGCACAGTGGGGACGGGGCATAAATGGCTGTGTGAACCGGAAGGGGCGGGGCTAAAAGACAATTGCATCCGGAAGGGGCGGGGAATAAATAGGCTGTTGATACCGGAAGGGGCGTGGTCGGAGGGTGGTGGGCGGGGTCTGATGGAATGTGGGCGGGGCTATGAGGCAGTGGGCGGGGTCAAAAGCCCCCCTTTCTACTTAATAGGACGCAACGATTAATTTCTTGCAATTACTACTGATTAATTTTTTTGCTCGTTTTTACTACTAGATATTTGTGTTGCTTATGGGTGATCTGTGGTTTTATCGCTGGAGTAATGAGTTCACACAAATATTAGTTAGAATATGTCTATATTCAAGAGTTATTCAATATTAATTACCAACTGTAATTAGCGGTTTGCCGTTTCTAAGCTCCAAGTTTCCACGAATTCCTTTGGAGCTGTCACTAAACTGCCACCTGGACCCTCATCAAACGCTAACAAAACGCCAAATGGATCCTAATTTAGAGTTAATTGAAGGTTGATTAAGCTCAGAGGAGCCTCAATTAAGCACTAATTAGCCCCTAATGAGGAGGTAGCACCCAGGCCTCGCCATGACCGCGGCGCTGCGGCGCTTCTGCACGAGGTGAGCCGCTGTCACGTGACCCCCATGGTGGGGTGACCTCGGTCACGTGACCCTGCGGGGTGCCCTCGTCACGTGACATCCCCCACCCCCCCCTCCTTCCTCCCAGGCCCCCCCAGGATCACTACCAGGTTTTGGGGGTCCCCCCCGACGCCACCCCCCAACAGATCCGTGCGGCGTTCCTGCAGCGCTGCAAGGAGGTGGGGGGGCACTGGGAGGGACTGGGAGCAACTCGGGGGGCAATGGGAGGGACTGGGAGGGACTGGGAGTGACTGTGGGGGCGATGGGAGCAACTGAGGGGCAATGGGAGGGACTGGGAGCAACTGGGGGCAACTTGGGGGGGGCACTGGGAGCAACTGGGGGGCAACTGGGGGGCAATGGGAGGGACTGGGAGTGACTGGGAGCAACTGGGGGGCACTGGGAGGGACTGGGAGTGACTGGGAGCAACTGGGGGGCACTGGGAGGGGCTGGGGGGGACTGGGGGCAATGGGAGGAACTGGGAGGGAACTGGGAGCAACTGGGGGGGGCTTTTGGGATCCCCTTTTGGGATCCCCTTTCAGGACCCTCTTTCAGGATCTCCTTTCAGGATCTCCTTTTGGGGTCTCCTTTTGGGGTCTCCTTTTGGGATGTCCTTTTGGGGTTCCCTTTCAGGATCTCCTTTTGGGGTTCCCTTTTGGGCTCTCTTTTTGGGGTCTCCTTTTGGGGTCTCCTTTTGGGGTCTCCTTTTGGGATGTCCTTTTGGGGTTCCCTTTCGAGGTCTCCTTTTAGGATCTCCATTTGGGGTTTCCTTTGGGGATCTCCTTTTGGGATCTCCTTTTGGGATATCCTTTCAGGGTCTCATTTTGGTGTCTCCCTTTGGGATCATCTTTCAGGGTCCCCTTTTGGGGTCTCCCTTTGGGATCCCCCTTTGAAATCCACTTTTGGGGATTCCCTTTTGGGATCTCCTTTCAGGGTCTCCTTTTGGGGTCTCCTTTTGGGGTTCCCTTTCTGGGTCTCCTTTTAGGATCCCCTGTCAGGATCCCCTTTTGGGGTCTCCATTTGGGGTCCCCTTTTGGGGTCCCCTTTTGGGGTCTCCTTTAAGGATCTCCTTTCAGGGTCCCCTTTTGGGATCTCCCTTTGGGATTCCCCTTTGAGATCCCATTTTGGGGTTTCCTCCTGGGATCCCCTTTCAGGATCCCCTTTCAGGGTCCCCTTTTGGGGTCTCCTTCTGGGGTCTTCTTTCAGGATCTCCTTTTGGGATTCCCTTTTGGGATCTCCTTTCGGGATTTGCTTTTGGGATCTCTTTTTAGGATCCCCTTTCAGGGTCCCCTTTTGGGGTCTCCTTTTGGGATCTCCTTTCAGGGTCCCCTTTTGGGGTCTCCTTTTGGGGTCTCCTTTTGGGGTTTCCTTTTGGGATCCCCTTTCAGGGTCCCCTTTTGGGGTCTCCTTCTGGGGTCTTCTTTCAGGATCTCCTTTTGGGATTCCCTTTTGGGATCTCCTTTCGGGCTTTCCTTTTGGGATCTCTTTTTAGGATCTCCTTTCAGGGTCTCCTTTCAGGGTCTCCTTTTGGGATCCCCTTTTCAGATTTCTTTTCAGATCTCCTTTTGGGATCCCCTTTCAGGATCTCCTTTTAGGGTCTCTTTCTGGGATCTTCTTTTGGGATCTCCTTTTGGGGTTCCCTTTCGGGATCCCTTTTGGGGTCTCCTTTTGGGGTCTTCTTTTGGGGATCTCCTTTTGGGGTCTCCTTTTGGGGTCTCCTTTCAGGGTCCCCTTTCAGGGTCCCCTTTTGGGGTCTCCTTTTG